CAAAACAACACTTGCGCCCAAATAAGGGCAGTTTCCTTTTCTGCCCCCGACTTTTTTAGAACCAAACGAGGGAAAAAATTTTGTAGGTTTAAAAAACTAATGGACGCAAACCGGCCACGGGAAAATAAAATTTTATTTTGTGTTTAAAATTTTTTTAACAGTTGAAGAAATTTTAAAAAAATTAAAAAAAAAAAGGTTTTTTCCCTTTTTAAATTTAAAAAATGGGTTGTAAATTTTCCCAAACTTGCTTTTTTGCCCAAAGTATGGATTTTTCCCATAAAAAAAATGAAAAATGTTTAAAAAAATTTTAAAAAAAACAAAAAATTGTAAAAGAAAAAAAGGGTCTTTTAAAGTCCAATTTCATACCCTGAATTATTAGTTTTTAAAAACACATAAAAAAAAAACCCTTAAAAAAATAAAAAAATTTTTAAAACCAATTTTAAACCAAAATAAAATTTACTTTGACCTTGACACCCCAAGGGCCCTTACAGTCAATTTATTTTAGAGTTTAAGGGGTTAAAGGTTTGTTAAACCCCAAAAAAATTGGCATGAAAAGGGTTGTTTTGCCCAAGTATAAAAAAAACCCCTTTTGGATTAAAAAAACCCCAAGGTTATGAAAACACCCAAATTTTATACCCTTTTTAATCTTTTTAAAAATTAAAACAAGTTGGGACCTTCTTGCCCAAGGGTTTCATACTTTAAAGTCAAGGAAAATTATTGATTTTGGGGATATTATAAAATTAAAAGGGTTTCTGCCCTCTCAGTATGAATTTTAAATCCCTTTTTTTGATTAAAAAAAAGGTGATAGCCAATAACAAAAAACAAAGAAGAAAATTTTTTAAATTATTTGAAAAATTGCCCAGTTAAAGGGTTCAATTGAAGGTCATTAATATGTTTGTTTGGGTAGAAAGTATGTTTTTTGGACCAAGACTTAAAAATCAAATTATGTAAAATAAAAAAAACAAAATTTTAATGACACTTTAAAACCAAAACCCAAATACGGACGAAAAAGGTCACTTAAAGTAAAATTTAAGGTCGGGTTTAAAACCCCTTATAAGCGGGGTTTTTTTAAAAAAATTTTGGTTTTGCAAAACAATTCACAGGAAAAACCCATCGATTAATTCCCAAATTTACAGTCAATTACGTTCCCCCAAAAAAGTTTTGTCGGGCCAATAAAATCGCTTTATTTTTTTAAAATTTTGGGGAAAAAATTTCCCCCTTTGCAGTGTTTGAAACCCTTAACGGGTAATTTTATAAAATGACCGTTTTAATTTTAATTACAACAGTGCAATGATTTAAAAAAGGCCGGGGTTTTAATGAAAGTCGGTTTTAGGTTTTTAATACAAAGTTTTAAGAAACTAAATTTTCCCCCCTTCCCCTTCTTTTTGCTTTTAAAAAGACACTTTTGAAACAATTTATTTTTGGGGGTTTATAGGAAATATATATTTAAAATATAGATCTAAACAGTTGAAAATTTATGGTGTCTGGCTCGGGCCAGTTAAAGGACTTTTCTTGGTATGTTATATTTCTTTCCTATAGTCTTGTACGGCCTTTCTGTACTTTTTATAGATAAAGTAGCAAGATTTTACATCCCTGCGCCATTCAACGTTGAATTTGTCTCATGCATATACTTTCTTATACTTCAATCCTTGTGCGAATCAAAATGTAAAATTCTTGGCAATGATTAACCTTAATTTTCGCATGTTTTTTGCCTGAACTGTAACCTATTTACAGTACCAATGTCTATAGTGAAAGTTCTTCGAAATATGTTAAATTTTGCTACTTATCCATTAACAAAAGCCATTGCGCTCGACTGTTCTCAGTGCTTGAAAGTAAAACAAGAACCTGAATAATGTATATCTTTTAACTTCAAAGGGCATTAGTTCTGTCAAAATTCATATTTACAATAGCTCTTCTACTTTTCGAATAGTCGAGCGTAAACAAGAGATTTAGTCAACAGAGATATTTTAACTGAAACAGGACACCATATATAGAAACTGTATGAAAGTTGTAGCAATAAATCAAATCAATTGAATGGCCATTTCCAGGAACAAAGTTACTGTTGATTTAAGCTTTCACGAAACTAACAATAGTTCGTTCGATGATGCTAAAACTCTATCATTTATCTTTGGTATATCATTATAAAAACACACACATCAGGGGCGTACCTCGGCTTATTATGAGTGTACGCCGAGTGCCGGTTTTTGGCCGAAGGATCGCCAGAGACTTATATATCAAATATAGCTATGTGCTATAACTAATGATTTAGGGGATATTAAAGCTAATTGTACTACTATTAACTTTATCTATAGTTATGAAAATAACATTCAAGTACATATATTGAATGTAAGAGAAATAGCACGAAGTCTAACGTGTACACTGGTTTTAAACAGTTCAAAAGTTTTCTTCCTTCTAGAAAAACAAAACATATAGCCGGAGTCTCTCTTGTAAAAAAGATGGATTTAATCTCTTTTTGTAACAAATTTAGTTTCTTCTCTTGGTTTGTTATTTTTTTTTGTTTCACCATAACTTAACGTGAGATATTATCAAGGAAAATATGCTTTAAAATGATCTTGTATGACCTTTAAATACAAACACAACAGCTTAAATGTTTAGTGTAACGAAAGGTTATCGTATTCACAGCTAAAATGTAGTATCGCACGATCATTTAGCTTCCTTAAAATATTTTTAATGCGTATTAATGTCAATGGTGTAGACAATAAGTATTGTCTTTAATATTTTTGTTCTCAACAATCCAGTCTTTCAATTTCCATTCAAAACTTATTTAAGTTATTTCATTTACGTAGTTAAAAATGCCTCACGCACATAAAGCATGTTGGTATAAACATACTCGCCAATTTGTTATCTAACAGTCGGCGAAAATAAAATAATTTGACATGATGTGTCTTAATTATGGTTATCATCGTTTGTCTCGTTATATATTTTGTCTATGTTTTAAATATGTATAATGACGAGACCTACGTATAATAAAAATATATATCATTGTTTTTCATAAGTGTGGCATTTTTTTACTCAATAAAATAATACAGTAGAAACAAAAATTTTTTAAGTGATATATTTTTGTTAAATACTGGTATTTTTTTACGGTCAAATAAACAAAAGTTGAATTTGGTTTGTGACGATGGAATGATGGCAATAGTTCACTGCAAAGATCTGATTCACAGTGTCATTTATAGTTACAAGGTTTAAATATAAAAGACATTCCATAAGCTAACTCACTCCCTTCTATTGTTGCCTGCAAACGCCAAGTTGCAAACAAGATTCTTTATTTTGCATATAGATCTAGATGTAAAAAATGAAATAAATGTTGGACGTTTCACTGTTTTGATTTCTTCGGAAAAAAAAATGAATTGTAATATATTGGTCAATTTTATACCCTTATTTGAATTTTGACGAGGATTATTAGCATTATAACGCTTTTAAACTCAAGCTGAAAAAAAGAGAAAATTCCAAAGAAGATTGTTTATATCATATTTTTTACTCCCCTTTTCTTCATAATTAAAGTTTTCGATTGTGCATAAAAAGGTAACGCATATTCGAAAAAGGTAACATCCTAAATATACCGGTAAAATAATCTATTCTTGACAGCTACGAATATGTTGACAGATCTATCAAAATGATTTCATTTTTTATTTTTTTGTTTGTTTTACGAAACTTTTTCTTTTTATACGCCCGTGCGTATTGGCGTATCGGTAGGTACGCCACTGCACATGTCACCTTTGTGCCACCGTAGAAAGTAGACTAAATATATTACGTGACCTCGTGTTAACACGTGATACATGTATTTAGTGTAAACATGTACAGTATGAATCATATACGATATTAGCTACTGAGTATCAGTTGTCCAACTAATCAAAGTGTATAAATGATATCATCACAATTATCCAACTCATCAAAAATGTTTTCCGAAAATAAAGGTTTCAATATCGGGCAAATGGGCCGCCCTGCGCGCAAAATGACGTACATCATGCATATTTATAAGGTCAAATTTAAACCCACCATTCAGGTAATTAATTAATAAAGCGGACTGGTAGTGGCGTAATTAAATGAATATTAATGAGGCCATCACTGTTCTACAGAAATTAGAAACTTTATCCGGTCGCTATCGCTCCCGTTAAAGTTTCTAATGAACGGATGAACACGAACATAGACATTTGTTTGTAGTCGATTTTTTCCCTATATGAATCAATGAAAAACTGTACTGCTACAAAAAACTCATTTAATTGAATAACAGGAAATAAATGTATATCGGACCTAAATCGGACCGATATCACCAGTGTCACAGGGTGAGAAAAATGTGCAGCCTGACCGGGACTCGAACCCGGGACCCTCAGAATACCGTACCGCGGCTCTACCGACTGAGCTATCCGGCGATTACACATCTTCTTCTCCCCTAAATAGTGAACAGTTCTGACCGTGACATACTCCCCCCGCTATATTGAAATTCGTCCTCGAATTTCTAATGGTAAAGAGAACAATGTGAAAATTGAACTCGGAGCTTATACCATCACGGCCCCACGTTGGGCGCCAAATGTCACAGGGTGAGAAAAATGTGCAGCCTGATCGGGACTCGAACCCGGGACCCTCGGAATACCGTTCCGCGGCTCTACCGACTGAGCTACCCGGCCGCTTTCACATCTTCTCCCTTAAATAGTGAACAGTTCAGAACCGTGACACCAGGTTTGTCTATATCGGTCCGATGGCGGAAAGCCGACTTCGATATTCCGACATCTAGCCGATATAGTATGTTTGCTGGGTATATATTATATATCTATACAGTTTTAAAATGCTCATGGAAGTGTACTTGGGAGTAAGAACAAAGGAAAAGTTCCAAACCATGCAATAACTCTACTTTTTAAAAAAATGTCGAGCAAGTTCTCAATTCTAATATTTTTTTTTAAAAAAATTTCATAATCTAGATCTACAACTTATTAATCAATTTTGGATAGCAAGCCTTAATTTGTATAAATTACACTTACCGCACTTTTAAAAACAGTTGTTAAAATATGACTGGTAATTAATGTATCCAACTGATAACACAAGAATAGGAATTGTACTTATTATTCTAAGAAAACAAAATGAAAGTGCTTTTTGTACAATGTATATGCATGCGGTATTGTCTATTGAGATTTTAGGTCAACACATTTTTGAAAAACCGTACTGTAGGCGTGTTTTTTCGAAAAATGATAAAGGTAAAGTTCTGCACAGTGCAGTAGATCAATAATAATCTACACGACGAGTTAATTCTATAGATATGCCAGTCATTACACAGATTTTATATATTTAAAAAGGTCGTACTATAAAAGAAAGGAAAAAAAAAAATATATATATATATATAGCACTGATATAGGGTTGACATAAACATATTGGATCTAGAAAGAGGCTATTAAAATTTTATCACGTGCGGCTCAGTTTTCTGAAAATGACTGATCGACTTTCAACTATTTCAAGTTTCGGTTTGGCAGTAGAAGGTCACCTTGTTAAATCGAGTTAGAAGAAGGGCTATATATTTGATATAGCGACATGATCACGGGCGTTCGGTGCTTTGATGGAACTTACTCTTGGTAAATATATTTTTATTTGAGACACTTTAACTGTTTAAATTTAATGTAAGAATTATACACGTACTTTTAATATATATGTATTTATTGTTACAGGCCAAAAATAAAATATTGTTTGTTTCTCCTTTCGCTAACTACCCACAAAAAACTCGGCTACCCCAACAATTTGATTGTCAAACCATAATACATAGATCTACTATATTTTTTTCTCCTAAACATGGAAGGAGAATCAATAATCTTTATATCTGTCTCCTGTTCCTGTACAGTATGGTAAATATACAATCTGGGATATATGTTGAATGAAATTTTTTTATATCATTCCAAGTTTCTAAGCATTCATTTTTTTTTAAATCTATATTATTTTAGATAAAATATTATTGTAAAAAAACAAAAAAAAACAACATTTGTCTTACCTACCCTACGGACACTGGAGGGGAAACACAGTTAATTTTAAAGTAGGCCTAACAAAAGTAAGATGAAAAATAGTTTGCATACATGTGAACTTTTTTTGATGATCAAGTGGGAGATTTTACTTCAAAAAGAGGGAGATTTTAGAACTTACAATATACAAATAAGGAAGTTCTGGCATCAGAAATAGGAGGATTGCTTAAAATTGTGTAAAACCCCCTCATTTTTAAGACAAATCTTTAAAAAAAATATGGCTGCCAGAAAGTCGGAGTCTCCTGCTTTAAGTGGAAGAGTTCACATGTATGAGTTTGCCTGACTCAGGGTGTATTATGGCTCATTTAAATATTTCACTTTAATCGCTTGCTCTAAATGTAACTAAGTTATTCAATCTTCTAGTACTCTTAATTATTCTAAATAAAATATGTGAGTGATTTCAATTTTAACCTGAATTTAATAAAGCTATACCCCAAACCATTAACCCTTTCGCTGCCAAAAGGTTATTGTTTTATTGATCACCTATTTCCCGAAATAACTATTTTATTAATTAATATAATTATTATTATTTGTTATTAGTATTATAATAATTATATATGTTTCCAAAGCTGTTGGTATAATAATAATTATTGTCGATGGTATTATTTTCTTTATAGTTATTATCATTATCATTATTATTATTATTAATTTATTATTATTACTATTATTATTATAGAAACGGCTAAAGCCGTCCATATGGCAAATACGCCAAAAATAACGGAAGGCATAAGCCGTCCCTATGGCAGTGAAAGGGTTAATGGCAAACATTTTTTCTTACTTTACATTGAAGAACAGTTGTCTCATGGTGTTGATAAAACAGGAGATTTTCAAAAACAAAAATAAACCATTTTCTGAAAACATAAAAAAGAGAATCTTTAAGGCCTAAAATAAAACATTATTTGTTTGTTTCAGCTTCTGCTATATTCCTACCCATGAAAATCACAGCTACCAATAAATGTTATGCAAACCAAGAAAAAATTACCTTTTTATTAAACATTAAGGCACATATTGTCTCATGTTTTAAATTGCAAACTCCGGGATATATATTCAATAAACCTTTAGAACATATGGTTAAGAACTTTGCATTCACATTTTTTAGATCACCTGTTTGGCATGAAACATTTCTAGTGTTTGTTCAAATAGATTAAGAAGCCCTGGGGTCAAAATCAGACTGTCGCCCGAGGGGAGTGGGTCATTAATTTTTCTTATATGTTTATAGTTAAAACTTAAAAAATCTTCCTAAAAAAATAACCCCAAAGAGGAAAAGCTTAAATATTGAGCATGAAACATCTTCTAATGAGTGTCTACCAACTGTTTGTTCAAAGACCTTGGGTCAAAGTTGGCCTGCCCCAGGGGTCATTGATTTTCCTTATGTATTATATAATAGTAAAAAAAACCCACAAAATTTTTGTTTTAAATACCCAAAGAGCTAGAGCTTAGATATTTAGCATTGATTTTACTTATTGGCTTGGTTGCACATGAGGTGCAAATGTTAACCAGGGTTAGTAAAAAAACAACAACAAAAAACATGTTTTAAAAAAAACCCCAAAGAGCAGTTGCTGAGTACAGCTTAGATATTAAGCATGAGAGTGTCTACCAAGTAAAAATTGTTCAAATAAAAGTCCTCAGTAGTCAAAATTGGCCCTGCCTGACAGGGGGTCAATGATTTTCCTTATATACCGTCTAAGTACACAGTACTTATTTCAGTGGGCTTGATATTCTACGATTTTTGTTAAGGCCACAGAAAATTAATTTTTAGACTCTCATCCTCGCCCGCCCGTATCAAAATCTTTCCGCTCCAAAATAATTTATTTTCATAAAAAAAAATTGTTCATTTCGCAGACGTCTATGGACGAAAATAAATCGTCCGAAAATCGTGGTCGAATATTCGCGGGACGAACGCATAAAAATCAGACTGAGGTTTACAGCGTCTAGTGATCAAGATTTTAAATACGTTCGTTTTCGATCGGTAAAATTGTCAAAATGTTCATCATATGTGAAATATATGATGCAGTAAACAAGAAAACTGTTTGTGATTGTAAAAGATGATTGTAAGTAACAAATCTTACAACATTTAGTATTATTCTCATTAAAATATAGATTTAAACACTTTTGTTTATTCATACATTTCTGTTTTTTCAGGTCTTAAAAGTGATGGATAAAATAAATTATAAATTATAAATTCCACCCACCCGCCCCAATTATTTCTTGAAACCTGGATGAGAGTCTAAAGATTAATTTTCTATGGCCTAAAATAAGGGATTTGAAAATTCTGCATATCTTGTATAAATTTATGCGATGTAATTGTCTTTATGATCCTTCTGGCATTGATGCGTTTTATTTCTGCATTAAGATATTTGTACATTATTTACCTATAAAAACAAACAACATTACGATATAAATTTGTTGATCACAGTAACATTATTAGTAATATTACTTCCATTTAAAAATACATACAACTGAGAATGTGTTTAGTGGTAATCAACAAGTTTCGTTATATACAGGTTAATAAAGAAAAAAAACAAAAACATGCAATGACAATAATTATAATACTGTATGTGTGTATAAATACGAAGAATGAAAAATAATGGCATAATCGCACATAGACATAAGATAATTTGTACCAATACAAAATAGTAAGTTTATTGCAGGTTTTAATGACAATAACAAACAATGTTACAATGGTAGTTTTTTCTATAATATCGTAAAATATATTTTAAAATGAGAAAATTAAAACAGTCGGGTAACGGTATAAACAATTACAATAATAAAATGGACACAATTTTAGCATTTAATTGCAATGATAAACAATTATTATATACGGTCCATATATTACTTCAATGTAAAACTCCCATAGGCCTATTTATGTGTTCTGATTGAATATCACCCTCCTGTAGTAGAATATATTCCCAGGGTAATATTTCTTAATTATCACCCTGGGGCACATAACTTATAATTGCAGCAAAATTTTAAGTTAACTATAAATTATAGACTTTGTTACAATAGTATGGATCACTATCAAATAGAATTTAATAATTATTGTTCACAACTAAGTTCATAACTCATAACATTCATTATAAGTTTAAAATTTGATTTTTAACAGTGATTTTCCTACTTATATAACAGACTCAGAAAAAAGGCCTCTTCCCAATTGAAATTTACTTCGAAATCATGCAGTTTTCACAAAAATCTGAACTGAAACCAGCTTTTTTACTCATTCCCAATTCAGCACTTTTAGTGATATTTTTTCCCAAAATCAAGAGGCTTTTAAAGGCCTAGCTATTCCCATTAAAGTGAGTGAAATCACTGTTCAAGGAATTATACATGATTATTGTATCTCAACTTTATGTAGAAATGTATAAAATAATTCTTGAACTGTTTTTTGTTAAGTTTATTATCTTTTTGAGCATAATGATGATGTGTATTCTGTTTATTTCCTTGACTGTTTACTCTATAAATATTACATAGTTGTAGGTCTTTTGGTAAAATAATATAAATGACACAATTGGCACAGTCCGTGCGAATTTATTAGAGGATAATGCCAACCCTTGAACTGGCATATTACCCTGAGGGGCATATTTAACCCCTCACAGGGATTTTTTTAAGGATTTTGGGAACATTACCTATACCCATGGAATTGGAAATTTCAGCGGTGTTTTGTTAAAAATTAGTAAAAATACATGACTGAAATTTTACAGTGATTAAATGGATGCTAACAATTTCTGTCTAGGACATGTAGGATGGCATCTTCAAACATGTAACCACTATTACAGTGAAGGAGCCCTTATTGTCCCCTGCCTTTTCGAAGAAAAAAGGGGGATATAGAAATAGGCTCAGTCCATCTGTCTGTCCGTCCGTCTATCTGTCTGTCCTTCCATCTGTCCGTCCGCACTCACAGGAGAGTAATTATGTGGCTAGAGGGACAATAGGTTCTCTTTGATGTCATTCATTCCGTAATGCTTTTACGTGGCTATTTTTCTTTTGCGTGGCTAAAAGAACAATAGAGAGAACAATAGAGTAGCCACATAATTACTGTCCTGTGAGAACGTCCGTCTGTCCGTCCGTCACACTTTCGTGTCCAGTCCATAACTTTGTCATTTATCAAAGGAATCTGAAATAACTTGGCACAAATGTTTGTTATAATAAGACGATGTGTCATGCGCAACAACCAGACCCCTACCTCCAAGGTCAAGGTCGCACTTGCTCATTTAAGGTCAACATTGTCTATTAGAGAGTATATGTCGTGTCCGGTCCATAACTTTCTTATCTTTGAAGGGATTTTGTAAATACTTGCCACAATTGTTCACAATAATGGGACGATGTGTCATGCGCAACAACCGGTCACCTACCTTCAAGGTCAAGGTCACACTTGGAGGTCAAAGATTAACATAGTCTGTTATAGGGTATATTTTGTGTCCGGTCCATAACTTTTTTATAGATCAAAAGATTTTGTAAATACTTGCCACAAATAGTCACTATAATAAGACAATGTGTCATGCACAACACCTGCATCCCTACCTCCAAGTTCAAGGTCACAGTTAGAGGTAAAAAATTAACATAGTCTGTTTTAGGGTATATTTTGTGTCCGATTAAGAACTTTTTCAGGATTTTTAAATAACTAGGCACAAATAGTCACAATGATTTTCAGTTTTGTAAGAGTTATTGCCCTTGATTTACAGTAGTATAAATTTGCAATTTTCAACTTGTTCATGCATAGCTCAAAATACTTGTAGGCCTGAAAGTTTACAAAAATGTTGGTCAGCATGTGTACTTATGCACCTTGGGGTTTGCTTGTGGATTTATTTAGTATTTGTGAAGTTCTTGCCCTTTACTTTGTGAAAGATTTTTATCCCCAGCCGAAAAGGCGGCAGGGGATATAGAAATAGTCTCCGTCCGTCCTTCCGTCTGACATTTTTGTCCGGAGCATACCTCAAAAAGTATTTGAGATATCAACATGAAATGTCATAGGTGGATAGATCTTATTGAGGAGGAATGCTAATCGCAAGAATGATAACTCTTCTCTATATAATTTTTTAGTTATTGCCCTTTGTTCTTTTTCATACTATTTTATCGGGAGCTTATCTCAAAAAGTATTTGAGGTATCAACTTGAAACTTTATAGGTGGGTGGATCTCATTGAGGAGGAGTGCAGTGCACAAGAATGATAACTCTACCCTGCATATTTTTTAGTTATTGTCCTTTGTTATTTTTCAAAATTAATTTTTGTCCAGAGCATAACTCAAAAAGCCTTGGAGATATCAACATTAAACTTCATAAGTGCATAGATCCTCACTCAGGAGGTGTGCAGTGCACAAGATTGATAACTCTACCTTTCATAATTTTGAGTTATTGCCCTTAGTTATTTTTCATACCTAATTTTTCACCTGGGTGGAGCATAACTTAAAAGTGTTTGAGATGTCAACATAAAATGTCATAGGTGGATAGATCGTATTGAGGAGGAATGCTGCGCACAAGAATGATAACTCTTCCCGATACAATTTTTGAGTTATTGCCCTTTGTTCTTTTTCATACTATTTTGTCGGGAGTTGAGGTATCAACTTGAAACTATATAGCTGGATGGATCTCATTGAGGAGGAGTGCAGTGCACAAGAATGATAACTCTACCCTGCATAATTTTTAAGTTATTGCCCTTTGTTATTTTTCAAAATTAATTTTTTCATCTAAGTGGAGCATAACTCAAAAGTGTTTGAGATGTCAACATGAAATGTCATAGGTGGATAGATCTTATTCAGGAGGAATGCAGTACACAAGAATGATAACTCTACCTTTTATAATTTTTGAGTTATTGCCCTATGTTATTTTTCATACTTAATTTTTCATCTAAGTGAAGCATAACTCAAAAGTGTTTGAGATGTCATAGGTGGATAGATCTTATTCAGGAGAAATGCTGTGCACAAGAATGATAACACTTCCCTATATAATTTTTAAGTTATTGCCCTTTGTTCTTTTTCATACTATTTTGTCCAGAGCTTATCTCAAAAAGTATTTGAGGTATCAACTTGAAACTTCACAGGTGGATAGATTTTACTCAGGAGGGGTGCAGCACACAAGAATGATAACCTACCCTGCATTATTTTTCAGTAATTGCCCTTTGCTGTTTTCAGCCATCAGTATTCACATAGGTTTCAAATCTGTAATCACTTCAGCCATTAGTTTTCATTACCAAAAGACCTTTTAAAATGGAATTATTCTGCTCTACTAGTCATATACATTCTTCAGATGAGCAAACACATTCGACGGGGGATGGCCATGTTGACATGGCTCTTGTTAGTTTTCAAAAAATATTTGACCTAAAGTCATGAAATTGACAGAACAGTGGCGCGGTGGGGGCACCCGTGTCCTATGGACACATTTCTAGTTAAGAACTTTTAAAAAACTGGTATGTGTGTTATGTTTGTATATGATCGTGTAAGTGACAGTACAAGACCGTAAGATACTCTGTGAGACCGTATGGGACCCCATATAAAACCGTATTTAAAGTACGCTCCTCGAGTGAGCCCAACCGTGTCAAGATCGTATATAATAATATAAATAATGTTTTGGAAAATTTTTAGACTGTCCCCCAAATTCATCCAACCCGATTTTTACCCGAATGTCAACCCAAACACGGTAGATTTTAACGAGTGCACCATGGTTTATACGATGCCATACGACCCAAAATGGTTTAAAACGTGGGAAAAACATACATGGAGACAGTTAAAATAAGGGTATACTGACTGTCTCACACGGTGGTAGAAATTAAACCCCCACCCCTTAAATGCTAGTTCCCGGAAAAAGGGTTTCCCTGCCAGGGGAATATAAAAAAGGGCCCTCCAGGGCCCCCAACCCCTCCCAATGCTGACCTTTTAAGCCTGATGAGTGGGGCCCCAAAATGTTATCAGTCTATTTTTGATAAATAATTTATTATTTCAGGGAGATGTAGAACAAGTCAATTATGGCAGATTCAAGTGGTGCAGGCAGTTCTTGCAGTAAGTTCTTGACTTATTTAAGTACATGTACCATATTTATAATTATATGCCCGAAAGAATTTCAGGCATATTTGTTATATTATACCCCCTGGCGTCCATCCATCTGTCCGTCCGCACTCACAGGACAGTACTTATGTGGCTAGAGGGACAATAGGGAACTGTTCTTTCTCTTTGATGTCTTTCATGCTTTTATGTGGCTATTGTCTTTTGTGTGGCTAAAAAGAACAATAGAGTAGCCACATTATTACTCTCCTGTTAGAATGGCCGTCTGTCCGTCCATCTGTTAGTAATTTGGTTTCCGAAGCATAATTTAAGTTCCTTTTGGCCCACAATATTTAAGCTTCATAAGATGATTGTCCATATTGGGTAGAAGACCCCTATTGATTTTAGGGTCACAAGGTCAAAGGTCAAGGTCACTATTACTTTAAAACTGAAAACAGTTTCTGGAGCATAACTTAAGTTCCATTAGTCCCACAATATTCAAACTTCAAAGGATGATTGTCCATATTGGGTAGAAGACCCCTATTGATTTTGGGGTCAAAGGTCAAGGTCACTATTACCTTAAAACTGAAAACAGTTTCGGGTGCATCACTTAGTTCCATTTACATGTTACAGATAGAGTTGGTGGACTGTGAGACATGATGAGACTGTAGGATATCATCCTTTTGTAAATGCACTTTGTCAAAAACCATGCGAAGAATATTCTGGATACAGAAGGATCAGATTTCACAGATCATAACCTTACAAATGGGTTAGTGTTTTGTTTTCTAAATAAAACACAGCTTATTGTATGTTTATGACTAGTAGAAATCATCACTTTCTTAAAGAATAAAAGAAAAAGAAAACTTCTCGAGTAGGCCTACTGAGTAAAGTACACTTAAAAGTTAAAAGGTAAAGGACAGTTTAGTTTATTGTTTACTCTTGGTTTATTTTTGTTACAGTTAGATTTAGTTTACAATTTCAGATCATCACAGTATTTTGTTCGCGGTAATAAAATAAAAAACGGCTCGGGTAACAGCTATTTTTCTCGGGATGATATTTTTACTGTTACCCACAAACCCATGTGTTATTTATATACTGTTACTTATGTAACACTACAAAATTCTTAGTCACGTGGTACATTTGCATTAACAGTAAGAATATTAATTATTCCCAGAGGCCTATGGGAAATTAACATTACGAAAAAATTGAGGGGTAATATAAGTAATTTATAATGACAAGTCTTAGGTCTATTAAATTTTAGTATAATGTATGGAATATGACCTAGACCTTCAAGATCAAATCCTTGAATTTGTCTAAGAATTTCTATAAATTTGTTGTGTCGCCTCTAAAGGAGTAGTTGCAACATATAGAGATCACTTCTTCGTCATCTGCCTGTCCATCCGCTCTCACAAGACAGTTATATTATAGCTAAAGGGACAATAGGTAACTGTTTTTTCTCTTTCATGTCATTATACCCCGGCAAAACGAAGTTGTAAGGGGGGTATACTGGAATCAGCTTGTCCGTCCAGACGTCCGGACGTCTCCCCGTCCGTCCGTCGGTTTTTCCTTGTCCGCCCAATTACTTGAGATTCCTTTGGCCCACAGTCTTCATATTTGGCATGGAGGTTAGTCATGATTAGTAGATATCATGACCCCTATTGATTTTGAGGTCACTGGGTCAAAGGTCAAGGTCACAGGGGCCTTGAATAAAAAACCTTGTCCACCCAATAACTTGAGATTCCTTTGACCCACAGTCTTCATATTTGGCAAGGATGTTAGTCATGATTGGTAGATGACCCATATTGATTTTAAGGTCACAGGGGCCTTGACTTTAAAAAGCTAGTCCACCAAATAACTTGAGATTCCTTTGACCCACAGTCTTCATATTTGGCTTGACCACTTTTGATTTTTAAGGTGGGTATGTCAAAGGTAAAGGTCTGTTTGATCTTTGCCACTAAAAACATGAAGAATACGTAACTTAGCAATACACTGGCTTACTAACCCTTAGATTTTGTAGGGAGGTTGTCCTTGAGCTCTAAATGACCACTGTTGATTCTGACAAAGTGGTATGCTGGGGTATTCACGCAATGACAGTGGCAGTTCTAGTTTTATTAGCTCCACTCTGTTTTAAAAAAACCCAGAGGTATTGTTACAGTCATGTTGGCCTTGCTGTTGCCATCCCCCAAACTTTAAATTTATGTTGGGACCTTTAAAGCCGATTTGAATGAAATAAAATGTATACATTTGGGGTTATACTGTCTTAAACTGACAGTATCAATATGTAATTACATGTACATGTATATATTTATCATAAGAATTAACAGGACTTCTTATTTTTCACTTTACAGAAAGGCTTTCTAAGAAAATCTATTTTTTTGTCTTGATTAAAGGACTGCTCTTTAAATGATTTGTCCTGATAATTCCTATCCTTAGGACATATATGAAAATAAAAGTCCTTAAAGGATTTCCTGTCTGCCCTATTGGTCAATCTGACTTATTTAAACACAATGTAGATCTGATTACCACCGTATATGTTTCGCCTTCCCGTGAAAGCTATTTTTAGCTTGACTTTTTAAAAAAAATAAAAAAAATAGAGATATTGTTGATGATGATTGGCTGTTTAAAAGGTCATGAGAAGGTGACAACCATTTGGTGATTTTCAGATCTGAATGCATAGCATTATTTAAGAGCTGCGTTTAATCAGATTGTCTATTAATAAGATTGACAAATTCTGTTTTGTCTTGTTCAGTTTGTTCAAAAGTCTTGAGATTTCTTGTTGGCAGGACTTTTGTCAAGAGGTAGAAAACAAATCCTGAGACAATCCTGGGATTTCCCAGGACTCCCTGACTATAAGAAATATTTTCTGCATGTGTTGTCTGGCTTTTACAGGTCAAACTGCTGGTAGGATTTCAGGATTTCAATGAAACTTCACAGGAGTGATCAGTTCCATATCACCAGTATGTTCTGCATTGCCTCACAAAATGGCTGCCAGAGCTTTTAATAGAAAAATCTTGTCCGACTTTTACAGATCAAACTGCTGGTGGTATTTCAATGAAACTTTACACTCAGCCAGGAGTGATCAGTACCATTACCTAGTTGTGCATTATCTGCTGGCATGTTCTGTTTCGCTGCACAAAATAGCATTTAGAGCTATAAATAGAAAAATCTTGTCTGACTTTCTTAGGTCAAACTCGAGCTGGCGGGATTTCAACAAAACTTCACAGGAGTGATCTGATTACAGTGTACCTAGTTTTGGGAGACATGTTTTTGTGACAAAACTCCTTTCTTAATAAGTTTTGTTATATATGTAATTATTTAATTGAATACTTCCACAAAACATACTTGTAACCAAACAAACATATTGAATAATTTAGATGTGACCTTGACCTTTAATTGACAGACTGTCAAGTTCAAATTAAAGAAATTTTCTTGTTTTTGTATTTAACTGGCTATAAATTTGTTATTTATAAATGGATTGAATTCATATTAAGACACAGCATCTTTTAGGTCATGACCTTTATAAATGTATATCAAATTCAAACTGACCTTGATTCATATATGACCTTGATGGTCAAATTATTGACTTTACACTCATATTTGTTATTGTACACAATGTTAGAAATTGATGAAATTGATCTGTTTATCAGCTGACCTAGATAATTTGATGAAATGACCTTCTTAATATGTACAGCTAATTGGACTTTGGACCAATTGTGCACTGAGTTTTAGATGTAATTTTAATATCATGGGACCTAGATAATTTTACAAAGTGACATACTTTCTTATCTTTTGATGTATTGTCGGCTATTAAATTGGGACCATGTGCACAGTTTTAGATGTAAAATTGAACGTTGATATCAGCTGACCTAGATAATTTGACAAATTGACATACTTACTTATTCATTGATGTACAGCTATTAAATGGGACCATGTGCACAGTTTTAGATGTAAAATTGAACATTGATATCAGCTGACCTAGATAATTAAAGTGACATACTTACTTATTCATTGATGTACAGTTATTAAATGGGACCATCATGTGCACAGTTTTAGATGTAAAATTGATCATTGAATATTACATTTATGTTAATGAGATTCATACTTGTTGTGACAAACAACAAGTGTGACTAGACTTTATAATACCTCTGAAATTTAAAAAAAGGAAAAATATTTTTTTTTCTTTAATTTTCTTTTTCAAGATTTGTTTAAACCTTTATTTGTTTGCATTTAGAATAAACAATAAAAAATGTTGAGTGTTGTCTCTGCCACTGGCGGTGGCTCTTGTTACCCAGATGATTTTGAAGAGTGTTTAACTATGCATGAAAATAAGATCAAAATTTTCATTTGGCTTGATAACAACACTGAAGTCATTTATCTTTTGTGCAAATTAATTATGATCTTGAAGGTTCCACTTAACAAATGTTTGACTGTAGATTTCTTTTTTCAATTTTTAGCTGTTTGTCTACCCCTTATCTTGAAAGCAGAAGAAGAAATTAGAAAAGATGGAGTGGAAGAAATTGCGAAAGACATTAAACATCATCTTCATTTATTCCAAAGACACATTCGTAGTTGGAGAGACTTTTCTTATGTGAGGGTCAATGATGTGACATTTGAATCAGGCTTAGTGTACTTGACATTTGAATTCAACTCAGAGGAGTCATTGAATTCTTTTTATGCTTGTACAAAGGATGAAAGTAATGAATTATCAAAATGTCTTGGACAGTATATCTATGAACAAGGTATTGAATTTATTGCGGGCTTGCCTTTGGGTGCAACCCTATCATGTGAGGTAAAGATGACAAGAAGACACTTCTTACAAGCCAAGCAAAACATGGCTAAAAAAGAACCAACGACTCATAAGTAAGTTACCTAAAACTCTTTCTTATAATTATTTCAGGTTATTGTAAGTAAAACTGTGATTTTCAGATTTGGAAATTGTTTGAATATTAAATTACTCTGTATGTTCAAGTAGAAAACAATCAGAAAATGCATACTGTAAAATTCCTATTAAAGGCTCTGGGAGGCTAAACATTTTCCAAAGGAAGGGCATTTATTAAAACACAGTTTTTTGTGTCGCCTTGAAAAGGTGACATATAGGGGTTACTTTTGTCGGCTGCGTCGGCGGCGTCTGTGACGGCGTCGGCGTCCCCTAAAGCTTGTCCGGAGCATAACTCAGTCACTATAAGTCGGATTGACTTCAAACTTGGTATGCATGCTTCTTTCAATAACCCGAAGTGCAGTGCACAAGGACCGGTACTCTGCAGTTCTTATTTTTTGAGTTATTGCCCTTTGTTAATTTTCACACTTTAATTTTGTCCGGGCCATTTCTCTTCAACTAAAAAAGCGTATGGACTTGAAACTTCCATAGGATGATAGATCTCATTAAGAAGAAGTGCAGTGCATAAGAACCGGTACCCTGCACTTGCTAATTTTTTGAGTTATTGCCCTTTGTTAATTTTCATACTTTATTTTGTCCAGGGCCATTTCTCCTAATTGTATAAAAGCCATGGACTTGAAACTTCATAGGATGATAGGTCTCATTAAGAAGAAGTGCAGTGAACAAGAACAGGTACTCTGCATTTCTTATTTTTGAGTTATTGCCCTTTGTTTATTTTCATACTTTTAATTTTGTCCGGGCCATTTCTCCTTAAGTATAACAGCTATGGACTTGAAACTTCATAGGATGATAGATCTCATTAAGAAGAAGTGCAGTGCACAAGAACCGGTACTCTGCATTTCTTATTTTTTGAGTTATGGTCCTTTGTTAATTTTCATACTTAATTTTTGTCCAGGCCATTTCTCTTCAACTAAAAAAGCTATGGACTTGAAACTTCATAGGATGATAGATCTTATTAAGAAGAAGTGCAGTGCATAAGAACCGGTACTCTGCACTTCCTAATTTTTGAGTTATTGCCCTTTGTTAATTTTCATACCTTATTTTTGTCCAGGCCATTTCTCCTAATGTATAAAAGCCATGGACTTGAAACTTCATTGGATGATAGGTCTCATTAAGAAGAAGTGCAGTGAACAAGAACAGGTACTCTGCATTTCTTATTTTTTGAGTTATTGCCCTTTGTTAATTTTCACACTTTAATTTTGTCCGGGCCATTTCTCTTCAACTAAAAAAGCGTATGGACTTGAAACTTCATAGGATGATAGATCTCATTAAGAAGAAGTGCAGTGCATAAGAACCGGTACCCTGCACTTCCTAATTTTTGAGTTATTGCCCTTTCTTAATTTTCATACTTTATTTTTGTCCAGGCCATTTCTCCTAATGTATAAAAGCCATGGACTTGAAACTTCATAGGATGATAGGTCTCATTAAGAAGAAGTGCAGTGAACAAGAACAGGTACTCTGCATTTCTTATTTTTTGAGTTATTGCCCTTTGTTTATTTTCATACTTTAATTTTGTCCGGGCCATTTCTCCTTAAGTATAACAGCTATGGACTTAAAACTTCATAGGATGATAGATCTCATTAAGAAAAAGTGCAGTGCATAAGAATTGATACTCTGCATTTCTTATTTTTTGAGTTATTGCCCTTTGTTGATTTTCTTACTTTATTTTTGTCCTGGTCATTTCTCCTCAAGTATGAAAGCTATGGACTTGAAACATCATAGAATGATAGATCTTATTGATAAGAAGTGCAGTGCACAGAAACTGCTGCTCTGCACTTAATATTTTTTTAGTTATTGCCCTTTGTTATTTTTCATACTTCATTTTTGTCCGGGCCATTTCTCCTAAACTACATTGTTTACAAGGCGACACATCCGACTCGCGGAGTTCTAGTCCTAAATTAAAAAATCTTTTACAAATGTAAATATGTTTCGTATAAAACAAGTTTTCGTAATAACATTACAAAGTGTTAAAAGTTTTACAGTTTCCATGTAGGTTTCCATGTATATATATAGTAAAAACTTGAAAAATCATCTTCATTGAATTGACAAAGACTACACATTAGATATTTTGCATGGAACATTGTGTAGTAGACCTCTACCAAGATAGTTCAAATTAAAGCCCAGGGGTCAAAATTGGCCCCGCCCCAGGTGTCATTGATTTCCACTTATTATGTACATATAATAAAAACTTTAAAAAATCTTTATGTCTGATTTAGGTACAAGGCTAAGAGGTTGGTTTGCATTGGTTTTCCTTATACTATTTATATAGTAAAATCTTAAAGAAAACATTTTCTCTGAATTGACAGAGGCTAGAGGTTAGATATTTTGCATAAAACATTGTGTAGTGAACCTTACACCCCCACCCTGGGGGTCATTGATTTTCATTATGTACAAACAGTAAAAACAGAAACAAAGAAAAATGTTTTCTAAATAGCAGAAAGCTAGAGCTTAGATATTTGACATGAAATTGTCTTCTGAACCTGTATCAAGATTGTTTGAATTAAAGTTTAAACTCTTGGGTCAAAACTTTGCCCTGCTCAAGGGAACACAGTGACCTAATTTCTTGTCCTTTGATATACAGCTATGAAATTTGGACCAAGTTTGAGATGTAATTTGTGAAATTGAATTTTAATATCAACTGACCTAGATTTTGACAAGTGACGTACTTTCTTGTCCTTTGATGTACAGCCAGAAATTTAAACCATGTGCACAGATTAAGTAAATTCATGTAAATTTAACTTTGATATCAGCTGTACTTTTTTTAGCTTGACTTTTTTTAAAAAAAAGTAGAGGTATTGTTATAGTCGCTCTCGGTGGCGTTGCCGTCCGCAAACTTGTACCTGGATCATAACTTTTTAGTTCTTGGTGTATTGTTTTCATACTTGTCCACAACAAACCTTGGGACAAGACCTTTCAGTAGACTACACTAACCTTGACCTTCGTCCATAAATGACATTGACCTTCAAGGTTAAAAGTCCAAATTTTGCTTGATCTTGTTTTTATTGGCTGTAACTTTGTTATTTTTGAATGGATAGTCTTCAAACTTGAACATAATAATCTTCAAGGGTATCCCTTAAAAATAACCAGACAGACCTTGACCTTCACTTATAAATGACCTTGACTTTGAAGGTCAAATTATTGAAATTTTCATTTTTTTGGCTATTATTAGCTGTAACTTCGTTATTTCTAAATGGATTGTCTTCAAACTTGACCATAATAATCTTCAAGGATAACCCTTAACAATAACCAGATAGACCTTGACCTTCACTCATTAATGACCTTGACTTTGGGGGTCAAATTATTGAAATTTTCATTGTTTTGGCTGTAACTGGCTGTAACTTTAGTTTAAACAATATTTTATTTATAAGTATTACATTTACATAATAATTGACAAATAATAAATAGTACGGATTGAGTAGGAAGCTAAGCTTTTTTAGAAACTCTTTCCGTAATCACCATCTCAAAGAGTATGTAAAATGGTAACAATTATATGCATTTTTGTGTTAAATATACATAACATTTTCACTATAAACTTGCTTCTTTACATGTACAAGAAAGTTAGTAATTTGCACTCTGGTTTTCATTAAGTCTTCTTTTGAAAATTGAAATGGATGGTGAATTTCTGTAAAACAGGAAGATTGTTCCAGTCTTAATTGATGATTTATTCTCATTCATTTTTGTGTCGCCTCTACGGAGTAGTGGCGACATATAGGGATCACTTCTCCGTCGTCCGTCTGTCTGTCCGTCTGTCCGTCACAAAACTTGTCCGGACTACTCCTCATAAACTACTGGTGCAATTTCATCCAAACTTTACAGGAATGATCAGTACCAAGTCTAGTTGTGCATATTGTCAGCATTTTCCGGTTCAATGATTTTTGGCAGAGTTATGGCCCTTTAATAATTTTTAATTTTAAAGTTTGTCCGGACTACTTCTCTTATACCACTAAAGCAATTTCAATGAAACTTTACAGGATTGATCTGTAGCTCAAGTCCTTGCGCATATTGCAAGGGTTTTCCGGTTGAATGATTTTTGGCCGAGTTATGGCCCTTTGTTAAAAAGGTGTATTTTTCTGTGTGTTGCCAGATACACAAAAGCTTGTCAGGACTACTTCTCATAAACTACTGGTGCAATTTCATCTAAACTTCACAGGAATGATCAGTACCAAGGGTAGTTGTGCATATTATCAGCATTTTCCGGTTCAATGATTTTTGTCTGAGTTATGGCCCTTTAATAATTTTTATTTTTAAAGTTTGTCCGGACTACTTCTCTTATACCACTAAAGCAATTTCAATGAAACTTTACAGGATTGATCTGTAGCTCAAGTCCTTGCGCATATTGCAAGGGTTTTTTGGTTGAATGATTTTTGGCCGAGTTACAGCCCTTTGATAAAAAGGTGTTTTTTCTGTGTGTTGCCAGATACGCAAAAGCTTGTCCGGACTACTCCTCATAAACAACTTTGTCCCAACATGAATTTGGCCATCATGAGGCGACACATGTGATTACTGATCGCTCTTGTTTTTTTTGCCATCATCAATTAAAGACTGGCTGTAACTTTGCTATTATTGAATATTATAACAGAACATTCTTAAGGACAAGACCTTATTGTTTATCAAACCCAAATTGACTTAGGCTCTTTAATGACCTTCACCTTGATTTGTGCATTAAATGACCATATATATTTATTGGTCTGTGTATATATATATATATGATATTTATAGAATTGCGTGAATCTATTTTTAGAATTGCTTGTTTCTATTTATAGAATTGCGTGTTTCTATTTATAGAATTGCGTGTTTCTATTTATAGAATTGCTTGTTTCTATTTATAGAATTGCGTGTTTCTATTTATAGAATTGCTTGTTTCTATTTATAGAATTGCGTGTTTCTATTTATAGAATTGCGTGTTTCTATTTATAGAATTGCGTGTTTCTATTTATAGAATTGCGTGTTTCTATTTATAGAATTGCTTGTTTCTATTTATAGAATTGCGTGTTTCTATTTTTAGAATTGCGTGTTTCTATTTTTAGAATTGCGTGTTTCTATTTTTAGAATTGCGTGTTTCTATTTTTAGAATTGCGTGTTTCTATTTTTAGAATTGCGTATTTCTATTTATAGAATTGCGTGTTTCTAATTATAAAATTGCATGTTTCTATTTTTAGAATTGCGGGTTTCTTTTTATAGAATTGCGTGTTTCTATTTTAAGAATTACGTGTTTCTATTTTTTGAATTGCGTGTTTCTATTAATTTCATAGAATTGCGTGTTTCTATTTTTAGAATTGCGTGTTTCTATATATATATATATATATATATATATATATATATATATACAAATTATATAGACAAAATGAATGTGACAAGACAGACCGATTAAATTCATAAAAAGGAAACGGTGGCTCTTGTGACTTACTGTCTTGTCTTTTGCTGTCCAGTCTTGAAATTTAGGCCATGTGAAATATGACCTTGACCATCAAATTCACTAGACTCAACTGCATTATGGCAAAGTTCAATTGCATAGAAACAAAGTGACAATATTGGTGAGCTTTTGTGATAGTTTTTCGTGCGGCGTCTGTTGGTAAACATTTACTTTTAACGACATCTCCTCATAAACTGCTTAGCCAATTTCTTCCAAACTTCACAGAAATGTTCCTTTGGTAGTCAACTTTAAAAATTGTTCAAAGAATTTTATTCCAAGCAGAACTCTGGTTGCCATTGCAACTTAAAATACCTTCTTATAGAAAACAAAGAGCTAGAGCTTAAATATTTGGCATGAAACATCATCTAGTCAGTACCTACCAAGTTTGTTCAAATAAATGCCCTGGGGTAGAAATTGGCCTCGCCTGGGTAGGGGGTCATTGATTTTCCTTATTTGTATGTAGTATAAACTTAAAAAATCTTCTTTTAAAAAAACGAAAGAGCTAGAGCTAAGATATTTAGCATGAAACATCTTCTAATGGGTGTCTACCATTTTTGTTCAAATAAGGGCCCTTTGATTAAAATTGGCCCCGCCCCGATGATCATTGATTTTCCTTATATGTATGAAGTAAAACCTTAGAAAAACAGAGTTTAGATATTAAACATGAATTATCTTCTAGTGAGTGTCTACCAAGTCTGTTCAAATGAAAGCCCTTGGGACAAAAATTGGCCCCGCCCAGAGGGGGGGGGGAGTCATTGTTTTTCTCTATATGTGTATAGTAAATTGACCTTGACCGTCAAGTTCAAATTATTTAAATTATGTTTAATTAAATTGTCATAACTTTGTTATGTAATTATTATGGATTTGATTCATTCTTGGACAAAAGAGCACTTATGACAATATTGCCATGATTACTAATTCAAATCTGACCTTTACCTTTGAAATACTTTGAATGTCAAGGTCATATAGGAATTAATTAATTTTATTTGTTACGAAAAGTTTTGTAGTAAAGACTATTATGAATGTTCTTCCTCTGATGTGTTTGACTTAAAGATCTCGTAACACAATTTTTTTATGGTTTTATATTATAATTAAGATTTATCGATTTTGTAAGTTCCAAAAAGGATTATTTATAAAGATATTACATAATTTAACATTGCATGTAAAAAAGGGAGGTAATAAAAAATTATTTTCTATAAATACTAAGTCAAATTTTTCAATAAGAAATGAATGTATATATTTTAATGATTACATATAATATGTACAAATATTTGCAGTACATATTTTACATATTCTTCTATGTTTGAAAATTGTTTTATAAGCATAATTATATACATATATATAATTTCATTTAAGTGTGGTATACAACCTCAATTACAACATACAGGATCTTTAAAAAATAAAACAAGTTGAGCATCATCCAGGGTACGGCTAGGCGGTGGCTCTTGTTAGATTTCATTTCTCTTACTTAAAAATGTCAAGATTATGCTATGATTGCATTACTTACTTGAATATTGTTCAAAATTCTTTACTAATTATAGTCAAAAGTTTCCATCCAAATGCAGAACTTCAATATCACAACATCTGTCCAAATTTTTAACGCAAGCAGATTTTGTCTCACTTAAAGCATGCTTGAAATAACTTTCTAATTCTTCCCATGATTGATTTTAAGTTTTATAATCATACTTAATTTTTAGGTTCATTTGTAATCAATCTTTCAGATCAAAGCAAGATGGTGGAGAGAGAAAAGACAAAAGAATAAATGTTCACTATGAAATTGTGACAGAAAATACAGAGGTATTGTTAAATATATTTCACATTAAAGCAGCATGCCTCCAGATTCATGCTAATTTTCATGAAAATTTTGAAAACGTATTTAAGAGTAAAATGTTTTGAAGTGAATAAAGAAAGTAATTTACACATTGCAAACGGCACTTACAACCCGGGTGTAGATTTTCCGAGGTTTATGAAAAAAACCATGGAAACTGCTTCAAAAACCTTGAAAATAAACCAGTTTTACAAGGTTTTTTTTTTAATTCCGAGGTTTTTCTTAAAACCTTGGAAACTTTATCCAAGGTTTTTGGTATAAAATCCTTGGAAATAAAGAAAACATTGGAAACTATCTCGGAATTTAAACACTCTGCCAAAAATCAGCTTGGAAAAAGCTTAGAAATGAACAACTTTTGTCATTTTTTAGCTCGGAAAAGAACTTAGAAAATTTACGTAAATTTGTTGGAAACACTTTGCCAATATTTAGCTTGGAAATGACCTCGGAAATTTGTACTTTACTAATCTTCATCTCGGAAAATGTTAAGCCATAATGATAATCATGATTTAACTTAAAATTAGCATCAAAAGCAATGATCAACAGTTAAAGCTGGCAGATTTACTCTTGACAAACCAAGCTACCAACCCGGCTGTAGATTGCCCATGGATATTTATTTAATCCATGGTCAGAGCAAACAGTTGTCCATGGTTAGTCCATGCAAGACAGCATGGTCCAGGGAAATCAATTTTCAGTATGGACATTGTCGATGGCCAACTTCCTTCTCAATAAATTTGCCCGTACGAAAACTTCCGCCCTGAAAAAAGCAGAAATTCTGTCTACCCGTACGAAAACTTCCGCCCTGAAAAAAGCAGAAATTCCTCCTAGCTACTAGGCGTAATCCGTCTAAGGCATTTCAGGTTTACATATCACAGATTCCTCCTATAAGCAGGAATACGCTGCGAAATATGCAAATTTTCTTAGGAGGAAAACAGTTTGGGTAGAGGGAAAAAACCCCGCCTAAGAAAATTTAACCAGGAAAAAATTCAGCTTAAGGAAAGCAGGAGAAAATTCCGCCTTAGGAAAATTCTTAGCTAGAAAAAATTCCGCCTAAAATATTTTAACCAGGAAAAAAATACCTACTTAGAAAAATCACTAGCAGGAGAAAATTCTTTCTAAGGAATACTAGCAAAAAATCCGCCTAAGGAAATGAAGTTATTGGTACACTAATAAAGCTGAATTATAGATGGATAAAACATTATTATTTAGCTGCATAAGAATTGAATTGGAATCCAAAATGTACAGACAGACAATAGGTGATCACAATTACAAAGCTTTTAAGTTATCTTTGTGAGCTTTACCATAATCTTTTCTACATTAGGGTGCATGTACAGTACGTAATTTTTAAGAGTCACACAAAAAACAGATACACAAGTTATATTTTTTATTGCACTGCTATTGTATTGTTTTAATCCATGGCAAATTATTTCATTTTATTTCACTGTAAATGTTTTCTGTTCAGCCAGTTGTTTTCATTTTTATTCCAAGCATAACTGATCTGCTTTAAGTTATGGCATCATTAATATCCTTGTCCTTGACTCCTCCTCATCCATTCTTTTTACACCAGCCTGAGACATATCCTGAAACACAAAGTTAACAGTCATCAGTAAAACACTGCCAACACAAATATCTTATATTATTGTTTCTTGTCATTGTATGCAGTTATAATTGTACATGCATTTAAACTATAATTCATTACAACCAAACTTAGTGTTACAAATTTACTCTCAAACTTAATGCAAAATTATTTAATTTATTTGAAATATATTTTTATTGTTTAAATGTATCCAAAAGTAACTTACCTGGGCTGCGTTTCATGGAGAGTCCTAAGTTAATCCTAAATCCTAGGACTTATGACCAACTTTAGGAGAAAAAGTTTTTGCACTTAAGACCGTTTCAAGTAACTGTCCTATCTTTTGTCTTAAACTTAAGACTTATGACCAATTCGCTCTCCTGAAAAAAGTTACAAAATACAATGGCACGCGCATAATCCCGGATTGGATTTACTATGTAATTGATTATAGGAAGTATAAAAAGTAATGTATTTCCCTCTTATCATGTTGAGTGAAAATATATACCATATTTCACGAAAAACGATAAAATAACCGTTTTATTTAATTTCATAGTAAAAAATATTTACGCAATTGTACATCGCGCAGTAATATTATTTATTATATACTTATAAATGAAATATTGAGAAATATTGATAAAATAAAATGCGTATTTTCATTTTCCGTATTTTCACTGTAAAAATTTATTTTTCACTGCAGTGAAACATATTTTCCGTATTTTCACTGGTGTCTTGCCGGACTACTTTCTTTTAAATTCTGCCAGTACACAAAATTTAAGGGAAAGTCTTTCCAATTTTATCGCAAAAAAGAGAAAAATGTATATAATAAACAGAAAATTCAAGTTTTTTCTATAAATACATGATTTATTTTCATCTTGTGGCATGAAAATTACCATATTTCACTCGTGGCTACCGCCACTCATGAAATATTTATTTTCATACCACTCCATGAAAATAAATCATGTATTTATAGAAAAAACTTGAATATCCTCTATTTATAGATGCGTTTTGTTTTGTACGCGATATTTGGCGCTAAATTGTGACGTCATGTAAACAACTCTTCAAACGTCTTTACAGCGTTAATGACTGAATTAAAGATATTGGTGTTCGGATTTATTTTCTTAGTTAGACCATTATCTATCATTCTAGATAGTTTTCAAAACAAAATTCAACAAAAAGTTGTTTGATTTTGGAGTGGTTTTGACTTAGGACAATCTTAAGATACCTTTACAACACTCCTAGACTTAGGACTGTTTTTGGTCATAAATATAGGAGTCCTAAGTTAGGACCTTTTTTAAGACTTTCTTTGAAACGCAAAATTGTCACAATTTTTGACTTAAGACAAACTTAAGACTTAGGACTCTCCATGAAACGCAGCCCTGAATTTTTATGATATTGGTATTTATCTTCTTGTCCAAGGTCATAATGTAGCATTCAAAATGCATTTACAACTGAGCATTATCCAGATTTATTATTGTCATTTTCATTCACAAGGCTAAGTCTTAATTTTTTTCTTTGAAAAATTCAAAAATATTCAATCCTTACACTTTAAACAAAATATTATCTCAAAAATTGCTTATATATTATCACCACAATTTTTAACTTTCAATAAAGTCCTTTGTTATTTGCTTTATTTCCACTGTCTCAGCTTCTGCTGACCAATATTTCCTAGATTTCAAATTATGGACAAGTCCATGATATGATGGTAAACAGGGATAATCCAACCCATCATTTTATTTTCACAATTATATAAACATACCAGAAAATAAATGGAAAAAGAATCCAAAATTCATAATAATTATTTTTTAAAAACTTTGCAAAGCCCTTCTTAACAGACTCTTCATATAAAATGTACAAAGTAACTGTTGCCCCCCCCCCCCCCCCAAAAAAAAATCACACGGAACTAGTTGTCTGGACTGTAGCAGAATTTACGATGGGAAACCATAATATCTGATCTGTGTGTTATCAGGTCTGTGGTGTGAAATCATAGTAGAGTGGTTACTATAGAGGCAGTATTTATTTATTTATCCTGTGGAGTTTTTTTTATCAATTAATGATTATGTATATTTATGTTTGTACAAACAATATTTTAGTTTTGAAAATTAACAATGAATAAAAGCAGCAAAATAATTGTTGATCACTTATTCGATTTATAATTTACCTGTCTTCTGCAGAAATTTCTCTTAATTCAGAAAATCTGTCTAGTAATCGGATTTTGTTTCAAATAAATCAACTTACACTTATATATATTAATATATAAATGAGTTTTGATAATTATATAGATAATAAGATTTAAGAATTCAACTACCCCAGCTTTACAGAACTTTCTTGGAAAATTTATTGTGAAACTTTAAAATATATATAACGTGGAGCATAATAGATAATAGAAATACCTTTTAACGTCTCCTTCTACACCAAATTTTGTCTGTGGCATTCTTAGGTGATCTTTTATCAAGTTTGCTTATATTAATTTAATTGGCCCCTTTAAGGGGCCGCTAAAGCTAAAAATAGAAAACTATTGAACATCATTTCCTACTGAAATAATTGATAGATGATCACCAAACTTTATTGTATCATTCTTAGGTAGTCTTTTATCAAGTTTGCTCATATTAACTTGATTGGCCCCGTTGAAGCTAAAGCTTAAATGCCCCTGGTCATGGCATTTCTTCAAATTATAGTTTAAAGATATTTTATGCTCATATTTAATAATTGGATAATTTCCAACACTGAAAAATAGTTGTTTCTGATAAGCGACTAAGTGCCATCATGGCCCTCTTGTCTATTATTTTGATTCAGTTGCCTCAAGGCACCAATAGAGCCAAGCATGAGGAATCTGGTAATACTGATAGACAAAAACAACCTGGAAGTTATCCTCAAGATGATGGAAAGAAAGACAATATAGCAAGATCAAGTGGCACAGAACAAACCAGATCTGATAAAAGTGCAACACAGGTAATCATAAAGTACAGTACATGCAGTAGTTAACATTAACTTGATTATTTGTGCATTTTGTTCTGAAATTTTGGTGAGACATTTAAAATAAAGGATGAATTATGTCAGTCACAGTTGGAGCTACCAATCACATTGCTCTGCACTGCAAATAATATACATGTAGCTCCACCATAATATAAACTGGAAACATTTGACCCTTGGTCGGTGAGTCTATTCATCTCCATGTTACTTGTCTCATGTAAAAGAATAATACAAATATACATGTTAAATGATTTTTTTCGACCAATGGCTGCTTGGCTCAAATAATCACCTAAGCATTGCAATGAACAGAATTTTAAGCCATTGCTGTGCCAGTTAAAGGTCAAGATTATCCTTGAAGGTTAAATGTCACACAATCTTTTAAGGGCTCTTTAAAGTCTATACCTGGTGAACGGATTACTTATATCTTCTTTTACTGAAATCTTCATCTTAATCACACAGTGTAATATGCCAAAATAGATAATGGCTGTCAAAAACACATTGCTGAGACATTGTTTCAGCAACTGTCAAATATTGTTACTAGTACTGGATAAAAATAATTGTGAACAGGTATGAATAATACAGTATGTTCTAAGATAGTAAGCACATAGTATATTTAAGAATATGCTTCTCAAAGATCTTTTTTTGTGAAAACTGAAAAACAAACTTTGCATCCACAGGTAGACTGAATCCTTTTTCTCCAGTTCTATTATTATCCGGTGATGCAAAATTAGTAACCCGTAAAACATTAGAGAAAAATAATAACACAGTAAATGTCCAGATAAACCTATTTTCCTACATGTTAATTATTTAGGCAATATAAAATAAATTCTTAGATTCGCATCCCTGTGACCATCCAGCAAAAATTGCTCTGCCCAAACTTTTCAGCTTGACTCAAAGAAGTCTCTCTGTAGTCATCATTATCAGTCTGCGTTGCGGGTGCCCTCTGCAAACTTTACCTCGATCATAACCTTTCAAGTTCTTTGTGTTTTGGAACCATTCTTTGCCACAACAATTCTTGAGACAAGTCCTCCAAGTAGACGAGACTAAACTTGACTACCTTGACCTGCAATGGCCGATTTTTGAGCTCCCCGAAAACTTTCGGGGGAGCATATAGTCGGCGCCTTGTTCGTCTGTTCGTCCGTCAGTCTGTCCGTCTGTTGTTTTGTCCGGAGCATAACTTGAAAACCCTTGGAGATAATTTGTTTAAACTTCATACAGTGGTAGAGGGCATTGAGGGGGAGTGCAGTGTCAAAGAACCATTACTCTATTTTGCCCGTTTTTTTCAATAATCTCCCCTTATAGAAAAATCTTTTCCAGGACATAACTCTAAAACTATAAGAGATATCAACATGAAACTTTGTAGGTGAATATATCTCAATAGGTAGATGTGCAGTGCACAAGAATCATAACTCTGTCTTGCCTAATTCTAGAGTTATTGTCCTTTGTTTATTTTTACTTTTTGAACTTTGTCTGGGTAATTACTCTAAAATTATAAGATATATCAACATGAAACTTTGTTGGTAGATTGATCTCATTGAGTAAAAGTGCAGTACAAAAAAACCATAACTCTGTTTTGCCCAATTTTTTAATTATCTCCCCTTTTAAAAAAATCTTGTCTGGGAAATAACTCTAAAACTACAAGATATATCAACATGAAACTTTGTAGGTAGATGGATCCCGATGGGTAGATGTGCAGTGCCTTTCCAAATTTTGTAGTAATTGCCCTTTGTTCATTTTTGGCCGGGTTGCTCTGGTGCAAACCCGGGTTATAGTATGGTGAATGTCGGGCGGCGGGCGGCGGGCGGGAAAAAACTTTCGTAAAAGTTTTCTCAGCAACTACTTATCACAGCCTCTTGATATTTGGCATACAGCATCAACACATGGTCCCATACCGTGGGATTTGATTTCAGGTATGTCGCTCATCCACTTCCTGTTTATCGACTTAGTTAAATTTTCAACATTAATGGTCAATGGTAGGAAATTTTCGTAACAGTTTTCTCAGCAACTACTTATCACAGCCTCTTGATATTTGGCATACAGCATCAACACATGGTCCCATACCGTGGGATTTGATTTCAGGTCTGTCGCTCATCCACTTCCTGTTTACAGACTTAGTTAAATTTTTGACATTAATGGTCAATGGTAAACATTTTTTGTAACATCACAGCCTCATGATATTTGGTATACAAATGCAACCCGGCCTTTTCTGTCTTTTACCCATTTTTGGCCTGGTTGCACAGGTGCAAACCCGGGTTATAGTATGGTGAATGTCGGGCGGCGGGTTGGCGGCGGCGGGCGGGCGGGGAAAAAATTTTCGTAACAGTTTTCTCAGCAACTACTTATCACAGCCTCTTGATATTTGGCATACAGCATTGACACATGGTCCCATACCGTGGGATTCGATTTCAGGTCTGTCGCTCATCCACTTCCTGTTTATCCACTTAGTTTAAATTAGTTTAGATTTTTTGACATTAATGGTCAATGGTAGGAAATTTTCGTAACAGTTTTCTCAGCAACTACTTATCACGGACTCTTGATATTTGGCATACAGCGTTGACACATGGTCCTATACCGTGGGATTGGATTTCAGGTCTGTCGCTCATCCACTTCCTGTTTATCCACTTAGTTAAATTAGTTAGATTTTCGACATTAATGGTCAATGGTAGGACATTTTCGTAACAGTTTTCTCAGCAACTACTTATCACAGCCTCTTGATATTTGGCATACAGCATTGACACATGGTCCCATACCGTGGGATTCGATTTCAGGTCTGTCGCTCATCCACTTCCTGTTTATTCACTTAGTTAAATTAGTTAGATTTTTTGACATTAATGGTCAATGGTAGGAAATTTTCGTAACAGTTTTCTCAGCAACTACTTATCACAGCCTCTTGATATTTGGCATACAGCATTGACACATGGTCCCATACCGTGGGATTCGATTTCAGGTCTGTCGCTCATCCACTTCCTGTTTATCCACTTAGTTAAATTAGTTAGATTTTTTGACATTAATGGTCAATGGTAGGAAATTTTCGTAACAGTTTTCTCAGCAACTACTTATCACAGACTCTTGATATTTGGCATACAGCATTGACACATGGTCCTATACCGTGGGATTGGATTTCAGGTCTGTCGCTCATCCTCTTCCTGTTTATCCACTTAGTTAAATTAGTTAGATTTTCGACATTAATGGTCAATGGTAGGAAATTTTCGTAACAGTTTTCTCAGCAACTACTTATCACAGCCTCTTGATATTTGGCATACAGCATTGATACATGGTCCCATACCGCTGGATTGGATTTCAGGTCTGTCGCTCATCCACTTCCTGTTTATCCACTTAGTTAAATAAGTTAGATTTTTCGACATTAATGGTCAATGGTAGGAAATTTTCGTAACAGTTTTCTCAGCAACTACTTATCACAGCCTCTTGATATTTGGCATACAGCATTGACACATGGTCCCATACTGTGGGATTTGATTTCAGGTCTGTCGCTCATTCAGTTCCTGTTTATCCACTTAGTGAAATAAGTTAGATTTTTCGACATTAATGGTCAATGGTAGGAAATTTTCGTAACAGTTTTCTCAGCAACTACTTATCACAGCCTCTTGATATTTGGCATACAGCATTGACACATGGTCCCATACTGTGGGATTCGATTTCAAGTCTGCAGCTCATCCACTTCCTGTTCACATTAATGGTCAATGGTAGGAAATTTTCGTAACATTTTTCTCAGAAACTACTAATCACAGCCTCTTGATATTTGGCATACAGCATTGACACATGGTCCCATACTGTGGGATTCGATTTTAGGTGTGTAGCTAATCCACTACCTGTTTACCTACTGAATTAAATTTTCGACATTAATGGGTCAATGGAAATTTTTTTCGTAACATCACAGCCTCATGATATTTGGTGTACAAATGCAACCCGGCCTTTTCTGTCTTTGACCCATTTTTACATTTTGAAGTTGTCCGGGACATAACTCGAAAACCATACAAGATATCAACAAGAAACTTTGTAGGTTGATAGATCGCATTGATTAGAAGTGCAGTGCAAAGAACAGTTACAATGCCTAAGGAATTATTGCACTTTGAACTTTTTCCAGGGACATAACTCTTAAACTACAAGAGGTGTACTTTCCTGTGTCCAAAACCTATTCGGGGAACATCACCCGGCTCAAATCAGCTGTTAGTGGCTATAACTTTGTTATTAGTCCACTACCAGTTTAGCCGGAGGGGACTTTCGGCTTACACTCGGTCAGCCCGTCCGTCTGTCTGTCAGCACTACCGAATAGGGATAGGGATAGGGGGGCATCTAACTGTAAACAGAACAAAAGAGAACAACAGAATTCACTCCGTATTAATAGAATAAGGGGCCATGGCCCTCTATTATGCAAAAGAAAATAACAAAATAAATTGCCCTTTATCCCTATTCAGTTGGACGTCCATCCGTCTTTCAGTACGTCTGTTTAAAAAACTGGATCCCGTGATAAGCAAAAAGTACTGAAAATATTTTATGAAACTTGATAAATGGATAGATTGCAGTATGGAGATTATGCACGTCTTTTTCTTTTCCTCCTATGTTGAAAATTCTGGTTGCTATGGCAACAAATAGACAAATAGAAAATATGGCAAATTCAAAACATAAACTTGATCCAGTGATAACATAAAAAGTACTGAAAATGGTCAAGATTTCTGATTCTAGTTTTTACTACAAGTTATTTATTTCTTAAGGTATTTACTTCAAACTTCAAATATAAGTTTCTGGTCATCAACCACTACATATGTGACAAGGTTTACAACTCTAGCACAAAAATTGTCAGAATTACCTCCCTTGAACTTGGAATTGTCATGAAATAAATGTTTTTTTAACAACTTCTTTATTTGGTAATGTATCTACTTCAAACTTCATATATATGTTTCTTATTATCACTCAAATCATTTGAGAGAAGGTTCAATACTCTAGTAAGACTATTTCCA